TTGATGTATGTTAATGTTGACCGAATGTTGTAAACGTCAAGGGAATCACATGTACGATAAAATTTGTAAAAGATAGTAAATTTTAAAATAAATTGCACTAAATTTCCTTTAAATTGCAATAGTTTAAGTTCTACAAAAATGTACAGTTTTCTTTTCCTTGAATTTTCAAAAGTGAATTTTCTTCTGGGCTACCCTGTAAAACAATATACACGAAGTTGTGGAGAGATGGTGCTCGTGCTAGCCTAGGCTCCGAAGATCCTGTGTTACCTACTTAAGAGTTTTTTATTTTATTTTTATTGAAACGCTATTGGAATATTTTAAAATTCATAATCACATAAGTACCTAAGTATATATTACAGTGCGTTTTTTAATCGTTTATTTATATATGGATTGTGTAGGTATACGTATAATTATTTATTTTTTTTCCTGTAAAAAAATATTTGCTAAATTTGCCGCCCCTCTAAATCTGCCGCCCTAGGCACTGGCCTACTTGGCCTATTGGTAAATCCGCCACTGAATATCACATAAACAGTGCATTTTCCATAGCGTTTGTTACGAGCATATAAAAGAAAGTAAGGTAGCAAAAAATGAAATTCCTAATTTCTGACCGACATTAAAAAAGAGGAAGATCAAATGTTGACCATGACCTTGCTGGAGCATAGTCTTCAATGTCATTAGGTAGGTAATCTTATTTATTTTATTTTTTAATGTAGGTTAGTCGGTTTCACAAATGACCACTACAAATTACAAGAGAGATGATGACAATCACGAAACGGTGTACCGACTGATAAGAAGCAGAACCAATCCAATTAACTAAAAATACCGTTTCACACTCACCACAAAATATCACTGACAAGTTAACAAGAACACTTTGAAAACAACTAAAAAACAATAGCTTACGATACGACACACATGATATTCATATTCATGCCACAACAACCTTTAAAAAAGTAAGTCACAGTAAGCGCAATAAAAAATATTGTGATCCGACGGTACATAAAACTAACTAGTACATAAACTTTTTAACTATTTCTAACTTCGCCGACAATGGCGACAACTACGCATTCGAATTTGGATCTTAGTTTCACATTTATACATATTTTTGTTGGATGATGTTGCCTTTACGTTAGTATCTTTGTTTATTGGCTTCATTAACGAGTGACCTCACAGTGGTTAATCATAACACACGTTTAGGTAGTAACTCGTTTATCAAGTTTCAAAGTTCAGTTCATGTCGGTAAGGCATTAAGTTGTAGGTTTGATATTGCATCCAGAAATAAATAAAATACAATATGAATTATTGTAACTTAATTGGAAGATTTAAAGCTTCTGTTACGGCTTGAAAGGGCGTTAAGTTATTTATTTTATTGAGAATACATAAAACTACAATCTCGGTTTATGAGTAGGTAAGTCTAATATAAAAAGTACTTTGTGTCTCATCTGTGGCTCTGTGCGCCTACGCAAGCACACGAGAACGAGATCCGAGATTGGTGGCATAGTGTTTTCAAAAACTCTTTTAAACAATCGATTTTTATTTTTCAATCGATAATATCCGTTAGATTTAAGAGAATATTATCGATTTCAATGAGGGTTTTCGCGATTGAAAAATCCGCCACATGGCAATACGTAGACGCGAGGTCCAAATGCTGCATGATTGGTTATTTTTGACATGACATTGACAGATATGTCAAAATCCACCAATCACGCAGCAGTCAGACCCTACATCCACGTCCCGCCATCTGGCGGATTTTTCAATCGCGAACACCCTCATTGATTAGTGAAGGGGTCTCCAAACTTTGAATTTTTCTGCCCGCCTATGCAAACATATTCTTTTAGTCTTAAGCTGTCGCGGATTGATGGCGGTGACAAGCCGGATATGGCCCGCCGCGGGCCGTAGTTATTTGAACCCCGGATTAGTCGATGCCAATACAATCTATTAAGATTAATAATGTCGATTTTAGTTTTACGACAATAATGTTTAAGTTGAGCTAAGTGCATCATCATGAATAAGTGAAATTAAGTGAATATTGTTAACGCGACCATGGACCCCAGTCATAAAATAATGACTATGTATTCATTCCTAATCGACTCGATATTGCAAGACATCAGCGCGGCCCGCGGCGATACAAATATTGCTTGTGACATGGATGGATCATGGACGTCAGCGTCTGTAGTCACCTTCAAATAATACGTAACATACGCAACACGTTGACACGAATGTTTTGGCTACTTTGGGTGTCACGAATTATTTGTCGCTGACTTTACTATGCTTGTGATCGCCTCAACACTCATTGCGGGAGGCGACCTATATGAGCTATAGGTATCAAATTTTAATAATTTTATTAATCGATAAACTTTCGATTTTGTGGCGTCAACTCACTAGTGACCAAATTAATTAGTGACTGGAAGTGACAGTGACAGTTGACACCACAGATTAGAGAGTATGGTAGACATCATGAAGCTAAAGATAAAAATGGAGGGCAGAGTTGGAACAAAAACTTGAGTCAAATACCTACTTATATCTATCTCGCTCTCTGCGGCCCTACCTCTCTTTTTAGTGTGAACTGTAGTATTGCTATCTTCTGATTTAAATCTCCTTGTAAATTCTTCGAAATAGCAAATTCACCAACCAAATCTGAAGTTAAACAAATAAATAATTAATATTTGAAACTAAGATTACCTAGTTAAATAAAAAATCACAAAATTGTCGGCCATTTAGGCTTAATGTGTTGGCGAATCAGGGAATTACAATCCCAATTCCTGGGTAATCGGTACCATGTGGCAACATCGGCCCAATCCGGCACATCATGGCGGTTGTTTACTATTTTGTTTATTAAGCAGTTAATTTCGTTTGAGATTGTTTACAGGAAATAATCATTGTTTTATTGAGAACTGCTCAGATATGTTTTGAGTATGCGAAATGTAAGTTTAGGAGTTGCTTAACTATTTGAGAAGCCGTCAAATATTTAAATGGCGTTTCAGTATTCGGCCGATAGATTGTGCTTCAAGTAGGTATTCGGAGTGTGGCCTCCATTTTTATCTGTAGCTTCATGGGTAGACATACTCTCTAATCTGTGGTTGACACCACTCTCTAATCTGTGGTTGACACTTGACACTGACAGATACAAACAGCCCCCCTAGACAAAACGCACTTTTTGATCGAATCGAAAATCGAATCCGTCAAAACTTCATACAAAAAAGGGGCTTTTCGACCACTTTTCGACTGGTTTGCGATTATAATTTGCACTTTGTCTAGACCCACAGGGTGAAGAAACTTCCATACAACGGTCATCGAAGTGAAACTTGCTTCCAAACAGCGACATCGGTGAATAAATTCAAATACTTTTTAACTACCCTAAAACGCTCTAGATGTCGCTGCTCCTCTTTCCTTCATATTTTCATTTTTTTCTTAATTAAAATATATTTGAGAATATTGTTAATTACAATGTGAAAACTTTTTTTAAATGAAATTAATTTGTTTTAATTTAAAACTGAACATTGACATTTTTGTTATAATTTACATATTTAGAAATTACTATTTAACATATGGCAACTTTGTTTTTCCTCCAAAATGGCCGGTGTTGTTTTTGTTGTTATGTTAAATGCATTCTTGTTTTCTTATCCATCATTTAAGTTTTCTGTGGCCCTATTAAAGTATTGAAGAGTCGTCGAGTCAAATTCAAGTTCATTCCTTCGTACCTGCTGCTGTTCTGGTTCATCGGAGTTTTGTTCGTTCCTTCGTGAATCGCTAAGAAACTTTCTGTTATGTTCACAAGTGATCTGAGTTTTCTCAATGTGCAAATGCTTTTTTAGTGTTGTTGAAAACTTTGCGAAAAGACGCTTTTGGTGTATAATATTATGTGTGTTCATAAATAAAGTAAAATTATTAAATTCAAAAGTTTTTGTTTACTTATTTGCATTTCCATGTGCAATGTAGAATTTTTCCAAATACATTGTTTTGAAAATACGTACACCATAAAGATAAATATTTTCAAAATAATGGATTTGAAAAAATTCTACATTGTACATCATAAAAACAATAATTCTTTGAAGGTTATGAGGGCCTATGTGTGCGTGAACTGTGTGTATGTGTGCGTGGACTTTATGTATGTATGTGTGCGTGTACTATGTGTGTATGTGAGCGTTACGTACGTAGAGAAACCAATTTTCTTAACCCACCAATAGAAGGGCTCAGCAGCACCATGTCATCAGCGTAGCTTAGGTTATTTACACACTGTCCGTCTATGTAACAGCCAATATGGATGCCACTGAGCTCCCCAATCAGCTGGTCAATGTAGAGGTTAAAAAGGGTAGGCGAGCTTAACCCACCCTGCCTCACTCCGCATTGAAGGGTATACTCATCTGAGAGTGCACCAGCCCACCTCACCTGGTTTTTTTGATGTTTATACCAAAATCTAAATAATTTAGTACAGTCTGCCGGCATACCAGCTCTCCCCAGTTTCTCCCATAGTAGGCCATAGTCTACCAGGTCGAAGGCTTTAGATAAGTCTAGGAAGCACGCATACACCGGCGTTTTCCTCTTTGTATAGTACTTGACAGTGTGCTTAAGGCTGAAAATGGCGCTTTCTGTGGACACACCTGGTTTAAAACCAAATTGCGCATCGCGAAGTTCCACATACTTTGCGAGACAGCCGTTAAGCAAACCGTCAAGTATCTTTGCAGCAGCGGTAGCAAGCGATATGGGCCGGTAATTACACTTGTCAGATGCGTCCCCCGTCTTATCTTAAATAATGGATTTGAAAAAATTCTACATTGTACATCATAAAAACAATAATTCTTTGAAGGTTATGAGGGCCTATGTGTGCGTGAACTGTGTGTATGTGTGCGTGGACTTTATGTATGTATGTGTGCGTGTACTATGTGTGTATGTGAGCGTTACGTACGTAGGTTAAGTACAGCGAATTTAACACCAGGCTGTCAATTAGTAGGCTCAAAAATTTGACAGAGAGGGTTCTCTATTTCCTATGTATTACTTTTCTCTATGGATACAAACACCCCAGACGAAATTCTTTAAATTTTCTGCAAAATTACGAATTTAGACTGAGTAATTAGTTTGAATTATGGATATTTTAATGAATAAATTAAATATTTAAAATTTTCCATATTGACCATTCTAAAAAAAAGAAGTGTGTCTCAGATAAACACGTCTTAAAATCTTATCTGGCGGTGTGATAGTAGACGATAAATAAATCATAATTAATCTAGTCCACATTTAGTCAAATTAATGTAATACGATTATCTACACGGGTCTGTAAAAAACTTGATAATTTAAAATGGAAGTATCCATTCATAATAATGTTGTTACTGGACCTGAAGAAGAATATATTCCTGCTCATTTGTCTTATGGGCAGTTTATGTTTGATCAGATTAAAAGGGGGGGAGACAACATAGCTCTGGTAAGAATACGATTACATTTACATGCAATACTTTTAAATTCTATAATTTAAGTTATAAACTTTAAAATATTTTCTTTAACAAAATTTTTCAGATCTCTGGTGATACAGACGAATCAGTGACATATAGAGAATTATTACAAAGTAGTGTAGATTTGGCAGTAGCCCTACAAAAGTTAGGTCTTAAGAAAAATGATGTAGTAGTAGTGAGTAGTGAAAACAGATTTGAGTTCATGATCTCTGCACTGGCTGTGATGTTTAGTGGTGGCGTTCTCTCTGTGTTCAACATTACATACACTCCTGGTGAGTAAAGTTGGAAATTGTTATATTTTAATTATAATATTTGCATGAACACAAAGTGAAATTGTGATTAATCACAAGCCTGTTCAATTTGATGTAATTGTTTCAGAGGAAATCAATCACTTGCTTAATATAGTTAAACCAAAGTACATATTTGTTTCACCGATTGGGGCACAAAATGTATATGAGGCATGTCAAGAGGTGACCTATGTGGAAAAGCTTATAATGTTTGGTGAATATGAAATTGTGCCTTCACTCATGTATAAAGACCTGGTTAAGGAACATATTGATGTGGACAGCTTCTCACTAGTGGATGTAAATGGGAGAGAAGACACTCTTGCAATCATGTGCTCATCTGGAACTACTGGCCTCCCTAAAGGAGTCATGCTTACACATGTAAACATCCTTACATCAACAGCTCATATGAAGTAAGTAAAAGATTTTTTAAGGAGACTAATAATAATTTTAAGCTGTCAACAATGAGTAGCAAAATAATATGCTTGTTAAGTGCAGGGCTAAAATGTCCTTTGGATCTAGATTAAAATTTATTAAACTTACTGACTATTGCACTTCTAATGATTTTATAATGTTTGTTCTAGGTATTATTTTCATAATTCAATGAAGATGACAAATCATGAAATTATCTCTGGACTGTCTTTGATACCATGGTTCCATGCCTATGGCTTTATCACTACATGCACAATTTTGGCTTTACGAATCAAATCTGTATTTCTAACCAGATTTGAGCCAGAGCAATATTTGGAAACTATTCAGAAATACAAGGTAAACTTAACTGGATGCACTTTATGTGCACCACCACTGACTTGATTTTGCAAGTCAAAAGTTGTTTCATGCGTATTTTTTACAGATCAATATGACTACAATAGTTCCACCACTAGCAGTATTTTTGGCCAAAGACCCCCTTGTCCTCAAGTATGACTTGTCATCTCTTAATGAAGTGTGGTGTGGGGCAGCCCCACTATCCTCTGATATTCAAAAAGCCATATCAGGAAGGTATGTTCTCATTAGGATATTTTTGTACATAATTTTGCCTTTGATATCTTTAAATTCAAAGTTGGCCTTATGAAAATATTTTTGCAACCACTTCCACTGAATGGCAATCAATTCTATAATTTGTATTTCAGAACAGGCTTAAAATACATAAAAAATGGTTATGGGCTTACTGAGGTTACAATGGGTTGCTGTGTGGATCTTACTGGTGGAGACAAAGTCGGGTCCTGCGGCACACCTGGTCCTGGAATTAAAATTAAAGTGAGTTAATGCATAAATACTAAATCAATAAAAAAATCTACCACGTAAATAATGCGGAACTATTGTTTACCTTAGTTATATCCAAAATAATCGCCACACGACAAGACTAGAATTGCGAGTGACTCTATTAACAAAATAGCTACTACTACTAAATGCTATTTATTTTTATTTCTTACCTTACTTCCATTTTGCCCGCTGTTTTGATTGTCAAATACTGTGCATTCTACACATCCATGCTTTGAAAGCAAGCACATTAGTTAGTGCTACTGTTTAAAAACTTCATACGTAATAGGCACTTGAGACCTGAAAATTGAATATAATAATGAATGTATTGTATCAATAGCTGACTATAAATCTAAGGAACGCTGGTTCGAACCCCGTTGTCCCTAGACTAATGTGGTGAACACACATAACACAAGCATATTTAGTTCAGTACGGGGAGTTTACGGCCTTAGTCCCGTAAGTCCCTCGTACTAAGCTAATATCTAAGTGTTCTTATACGAGCGGCTCATAGCCGACGGCAGTGGCAACGGCACTTGTTGGCAGCAGCTGTCGACTCGTCGACGTCACCACCGTTGCCACTGCCGTCTGCTATGAGCCGCTCGTGTATAAGGATAATTAAAAAAAAACTGTACAGGTGATAGATTTGGAGACGGGCCAGAAGCTAGGCCCGGGCAAGGAGGGCGAGCTGTACATCAAATCGGCCATGCGCATGAAGGGCTACCGCGGCGACGCCGCCGCCAGCGCCGCGCTCGTCGACGCCGAGGGCTACGTGCGCACCGGCGACGTCGGCTACTACGACGCCGACGGGTACATCTACATCGTCGACCGCCTCAAGGAGCTCATCAAGTACAACGGGTTCCAGGTACAGAAGTACTGACTGAACGGCATTCATTCAATAGTCTGGGTTCTTCTACGAAGCTCACTCAAACTCCTTCTCGATTCATACATCATGGAAAGTTTTTAAAAAATTCGCTTTTTGGATTACATTCATATTATAATTCTAATATCTATGTTTATTATGATAATTCTTATAATCAATCATGATTCANGAAATGAAATCATCTCTATGTTCATGTTTCATACATTCATTGATATGATTTTTTCTATTTTTTACACATAAAAGCAAATTCAGAACAATTTTTTGTTGTTATTCTTATTTCTAGGTATTAAAGCAATAAAAATAAGCTATGCATAACCCGTGCGCAAAAATGCTGTAGACAGTTGTAATTAATTAAATTACTGCATTTACTGTAAAAATGTATTGTAAAGAGGAGCCTTAAAAATCAACCCGGAAAAGTATCAATGTTGCAGTCAAAACTCAAATCAGTCAAAACCACTTTTGACTGCTAAAGTGGTTTTGATGATTTGTTAAGTAATTTGCACTAATCATAACACCTTTAATTTATGAATTTATTAAAGGTTCGCGCTAAGTTTGCCGGTCCGAGGAATGCGCGCCCCATCTCCTAACCGCGATTAAACGCAATTAGTTAGTGATTAAACGCAATTAAGTAATGTGTCTTATTTTACGCAAATACACAATTTTTATCAATAATAATAAATTAATAATATTTTAAATATAGTTTGTTAAAGTTATAGACGCTTTGCTTCGAGTGACGTCAATCACCAGCGGCAAACTTAAAGAGAACGGATAGTAGACTGATTTGTTGCAGTCAAAAGGTGATCTTGACCGATTATGAGTTTTTGACTGTAACATCAACACCGTATCGCCTTTCGCCGCGTGGCGAGGCGCCCGCACACCGAAGTATGGGCGACGCACGCGAGGAGGAAGGAGAAAGCAACCGAAATGGTGTTCACACTATCCCGCATAGTGTACTTATGCCATTACCATCACGGTGCGTAGCTACCATGAGGGGTATCGTACAAGTGAAGCCCCATAATTCAGAACATATTATTTACTATTTTATTATGATAATAAGTATAGCGTGCCCGAAATTTTGTGGCGTGCCATCAATCACAGATTAGAGAGTATGCCATCAATGGCACGTGTATGATACACCGATACACGGTGATCTATGATTGGTTTCCCATCCCTGACATACAAACAAATGAAAAAAAATAGTGAAAAATCGATAAATTGGATGCCTAGCAGCGCCACCTATTTGTTTCAGCCTCCCTGTGTCAATTTTCAGGGTTGTGAAAAAAAAAATATCGATATGTCGAATTGTCGATCAACAAAAAGAAAATGCTTTTTCAAAATGTTATCGATACTAAAATATTCACAGCTAAGGGTAGATCCGCCGATTTTATTCCGCGGGATTTATTTTACGTTTTTTGAAAAACTTAACAGGGATGCGTGCAAACTAGCTTAAACTGAAAGGTTAAGCAATAAGCTTTTTAGATNGTAATGACGTTTAGTGCGTGTTTTCTTGATTATCGAAATAACTTGAAGTATTTAATCAATATGGATCATGGCGCCTTATGTGGAAACTTGTATGAATCGTTATTCAGAAGTTTAATTTATCAGAACTACAACAGTTTTTTTTTTATCGATCGGAACATAAGTTTTTTACTGTTTCGCGGATTTACCCATAAGCAAATATATGTACGTTTTTGTATAGCGACACCTAAAATTCACGCCCCTAATTATGCTGATATTGGTTTTATTAACCAATTTCACCGAGGTCTCGCACGTGACACTCTCGTGACTTTCATAACGCTACTTATAGCACAGAATAATACATAATAAGTACTGCTTATTATAGTCATACAATTAGGTCTTAAATACAATACAGACTCGAAAACATGAGCCCTGTAAGACCATTGCAACATTTAAATAACTTCTTATCAGCACCAATCGAATGTTGTCCTGAAGTGCTGGCACGGCAAGGCCGGCAAGCTATATTTGTAACTCGTACTCGTGCTCTGAAAAGGGATTCAGATCATGCCAACTAATGAACTGAGTTAGAAACTCAGTATCGCATTAGAAATTCACACACACAAATCAAAATATGTGCTCAACACTGCAGTATTGGTACTCAGTTTAAATAATCTTTAGTACTAGATACGCAAGCAAAACTGTTTACATTATGACGTCGCCGCTGTCATCATTGCTTTCACGAGCAATGTGTTCTGTTTTTGGAAATATTGCTGCGACACCGGCCCCGCCCCCTTGTCACATCTCCCTTTAGGCCGGGTTCCCACTATGCCGGACCGGCATTTCTGCCGGAAACGGGACACCGGACAAGGGTGTTCACATTACACCGGATCACCGGATCCGAAATCCGAGCCGAATGAAGTGCGGGGAGCACGGGCGGGGCGGGGTGGGCCGCAACTCGTTCACATTACTCCGGTCCGGTGATTTTGCCGGCATTTTGTAGCGACAAAACGCTCGGTAAAAATGCCGGGCTCGGTGAAAAAGCCGGATCCGGGATAATGTGAACAGCTTCATACAATTTGTACCGCCGCTAGGCCTTCCGGCGATTTTACCGGACCGGGAGATCTGCCGGTCCGGCATAGTGGGAATCCGGCCTTAGTGTTTGTGATCTGTGGTCCAGAATCCAGATAGTGACGGGCAGTTTCGAACGTTGCAGGTGGCGCCGGCGGAGCTGGAGGCGGTGCTGCTGCGTCACGGCGGCGTGGCGGAGTGCGGCGTGGTGGGCGTGCCCGACGCGCGCGCCGGCGAGCTGCCCGCCGCCTTCGTGGTGCGCGCGCCCGGCAGCGCCGTCACAGAGGACGAGCTGATGCGCCACGTGGCCTCCAAGGTGAGACGCGCCCTCGTTCCAATGAGGGCTATCGTTTTAGCGCTCACCAGTTAGCGCCACTGTAGAGTAAGGTCCTGTCACTTGCTATAGTCTGGTCCGTGAGCACGTAGAATTTTGTCCAATGACCTCAAGCTACCCATCCTTATCGCTCGCACGTAATTATGTTGCTGTCGCGCTCGCACACTCACTGCGGGCGCCCGTCGCACAGTCGCGACAGCAATATAATTACGTGCGAGCGATAAGGATGGGTAGCTTGGGGTCATTGGACAAAATTCTACGTGCTCACGGACCAGACAATAGTAGCGAAGACAGTGGCACCAACTGGTGAGCGCTAAAGTGGTAGGAGAACTATCGCATTTGCACTCATCAAGATGGCGCCACTGTAGAGTAAGGTCCTGTCAATCGCCAGGGGTGCCAACTGTTAAGTATAAAAACGATAGCCCTCATTGAGCACAAGCCCAGTAGTAGCCTTATTCACGTAACAAAACTTCAACAACAAATCGCCGAGTTGCGATCCTGTCGAGTAATCGTTCTATAGATGACCCACGCTGAACTGTCCCGCCAAACTCAATGACAGGGGGGCGCTAGCATCGTTCAACTATATGGTTTCCAACATGGCAAAAATCGGAACCAGCGATTCGGTATTGACGGTGGCGCCCCGCTGTCAATGTCATCGATAGGACAGTTCAATATTTTGGAACTATATCGAAATTACCCTTAGAATACAGACTTAGAACTGTTTTTCAATAGGAAGACTTCTAAACGTCAACGAGATTTTGACTGTGTCAAAATACGTGAATTAGGCCACAGGGCCCCGACTGCTCTCAAAAAAAGGTCTATTCCACTTTGATCACCCAAGTAATAAAAGTAGTAATAAAATGCGACACTTTATTGTCCTTTGATTGATCACCCATGTATAAGAAGTCCACTTTGATCCTAGAAGATCTTATCTATATGATAGGATAGGTGATCAAAGGACACAAAGGTGTCGCCTGGAGTCCACTTTGACCACCCAGTGATCAAACTGGAATAGACAAAAAAATACGGCTATAAAGTGAACGGGTATAAGAAACCACAATAACCCCGGCGAGATGGCGTATCAGTAAAGGCAGAATAACATACGCAGACCTGTGTTCAAGTAGACTATACAAAATGCTTTCCAATGTATAAAGCAATTAAAAGTGAATTGGTATTTCTATTTTATTTTTATTTTATTTAGAAACCACAACGAGTAAATCTTAAAGTAACTTAATTGTATGTATGGCTAATTATAGGTTTCCCTGGAATAACCTTAAAGTAAATCAACCATTTCCCTATTACACAGTTTATCTTGCTATGATATTGCGGTTTAAAGATTAAAATTCGCGTGAGCGACATAAATGCCTGCCCATATCATCAGATAACTAATACGTATCATTAGTTATCTTTGAACTTTGCTTAGTGATAATACCAATATCTCGTATTATCTGGCTTCTAATGTTTGATTGTCGTTTACAGGTTTCACCCACCAAATATTTACGTGGAGGTATCCGTTTTATAGATGAAATTCCCAAAACCCCAGCAGGGAAAATTCTTAGGCGAGAATTGAAGAAAATGCTTGATATACCAAAGAGCAAACTGTAAGTGTTCAAATAAATGCCTGATAGTTTTAAGCATTTGATAGCTTAATTCATTATTTATAATTAAAATTAACCATTCACTGTTGCCAAGAATATGCATTTCTATTTTAGCATTTTTTAATGATCACGGTATTATTACAATAAGTAAGTAACGATTTTAATATTAAGATTGTTGTGATGTTTACAAATAATTTGTTTTTAGTTTTTTTTTTACCATTTATTAAAACACTTGTTTCGAAAACATTTTTTATTTTCATATTATCACCTGATTTGTGTACCTTGTACATAGTAAGTTAACAACAACGTTAATGCGCTTACGCGGACGTACGATCTCATTTCGCTAGAGCTTCTTTGAGCTCTTGTGGTATTCTGCTCAAGGCGTAGTTGTAGAGGTCTGGGTTGGCCGCGGCGAGCACGCCCGTCTTGTTGGGCTTGCCCACGGACGCGCCGTACTTGTACCGGTTGCCCAGCATGTCGCTGAGCGTGCCGCCGGAGGCAGACAGGATCGCCTCTGGCGCACAGGTATCCCATTTCTTGCATCCACCACTAGCAAAAACATAGACAGAAGCTTTCCCTTCCAATAATTGTAGCACCTGAAATGGGTATATTGTATAATAAACTTCGTTACTTATTTTTCTATAAATTCCAACTGAAAATATTAACAAAATACCTTATAACCAGCACCACCCACTCTGAGAATTTGAGAAGCATTCATAACTTGAAGAGCTTTTTCTACCAAGGGATTGGAGTGGCTTCTGGTGGTAGTTATTATGAGAGAGTCGGGAGGCGGGGCGGGCGTGAAGCCCCCGACGCCCGCGTCTTTGAGTCCCCATATTGTCCTGCCCATTTTTTTCTCGCCCCCAATCATCGACTTATAGTAGGGCTGGTGGATCACCCCAGCTACAGGCTCCTCATTGACAGATATTCCAATTAATACTGTTACATGTTCTAGAAAACCTGTAACAATGATGTGCATGTGACAAGTGAACTGAGTCACAAATTAATATTTAGTTCATGATGTTTTATTTACAAAGTATCAATGGCTTTGTTAATTCACTTTTAGTTTGATAAACACAAAGAACACTCAATTAAAACACCTTCAAGCCCGAAACAAACTAAACTACAGTGATAGTGTTAAATTGCCTAATTTCATTGAAAATTTTAATTATTATGGATTTTTAGAAACAGTGCAGTTTCGTAATTTAGTACAGTGCAACAGATTGAGAAACAAGATGTTAAGACAAGGCCAATATTTATAATCATGTTGTGTGAAGTTTTAGAAAACTGTACTTATTTCATTATCAAACTATATGTTTATTCCCATATATCATTTGTATCTGGATTTAATAATTCCCTTAATAATATTTAATTAAAAAAAAACTTAATTCTCATTATCTATACAATAATATACAATTTTGATCTACTATGGATCACAAAATATCTGTACTGTAGCTCGCTTCTCAAGAGATGAGATAAGATTAGTCAGTAGAACCATCTAGAATATTTCATTGGCAGGTAGGATAACATTAGTGTGTAGTATAATATCCTTCATAGGTTTCTTTGTTAAAATCTACAATATTTTTGATAGAGTTGTGATTTAAATGGGACCTATGTAAGGAGCTGGACTTCTTGTGGCACTGTTACAAAATGTAATAGAGCACACACTTTAGTGCTTAGAGCAGTTAGAGCACATACCAAATATTTAAGGATTGGATTGAAACTGTTGAAATGTGTTGGTTAAATAATCATAAATAATGTAAATGCTAAATATTGCATGCAAATGTACCTATGTATGTATTGAAACATTTTTAAAATGTTAGCACCTCTAATCCCACTAATTTTCAGTTCATTTACCATAGTTTGATTGCAGTAAACTTAAATACCACTTGATACTAATAAATGGATGCATTAAATACATTTTCCATCTTTCCCAATGATTCCTCTTCAACATTAGGGCACCTAAAATTATTCATACAAGAATAATTTAATACTTACTGGTCAGTCATAAATCAATCAATTACTATTTATAAAAAGTATTTACAAGATTAAATTAAATAAAATTGTGATTTACACTGATCAAAATTATTTTGAATAAAATCTAATGGCTCACAATTACCTTGAGTATACTCTGAAGTGCCATCAAGAGGATCAACCCATACAACTATATCTTCCTCCTTCACACCCTGGAGGTTGGTAGGGCAGTTCAAAGTCAGCACCTCCTTGTCTGCATCAACCACGAGCCAATCGGTTGGAACTTCCGTCTGAAAAAAGATGACATTTATTATGAAATAACTACAAACAAAATATTGATCTATTTTTGAACCATAGTTAGCAGTATATTTTGGATTACTTACATCATTTTCTGGACTGTCTTCCTCACCAATTATGCTCAGTTTGGGAAACTGAGCAGATAGTGCTGCTATAATACATTTTTGAGCAGATCTGTCAGCTTCGGTTTGGTAATCATCTTTACCCTATAAAATAATGTAAAGTTATTTATTATTTTATTTTATTTATTTATCTTTATTAAAGAAACATACAGCCTTGTTTGACACATGCAGCTTAAAATTAAGTGGGTTATACAATAATTTAAAATAATAGCCACTTTTCATGATAATGTTATTAGAAAACAATTGTATTACAAAAATAATTTAAAAGGTTTCAATGAAGCTTTTATGAACAATTTGGAAGACTAAGTAATTAAAATTTGATATGGTCATGCAGTCAATTATATTGACGACCTTATTGTATTCAATCAATTTCATTATATCACATAGTGAAAGGCGTCGAAACAGTGACAATGAGAATTTTAGAGGTAACAAAAGCGCTTTATTAAAAATACTCCGAACACCTTTTTAATATATCTAGTCAAACAACTTTTGAATGTAACATACTGGAAGTTTAAAATAACTTCCTTATTGGCACAATTCATACAAAAAATAAAGATACGTAACACAATGAATCGAAATAACAAACCTTTTCAACTATGCCAAGTTCTCCTTTGCTCATAACATCTCGAACAATTTTTCCTGCTCTATTAGCGACCGAAACTGAAGAAGCTAATAATCTCACAATAAGTGGAACAGTTGAGGACATGGTACTAAACTTGTAAATATTGTTATGAAACTAAAAACAAAATTAACTCGCTCTCCACTTTGCCACTTTGCATAGAACTGTCAATGTCATATGTTTGTTATGTCAACTGTCAAAACCAAAGACTAAAAAGGTATAGACCCACAGATATGGATTAGAGTAGATACAGCAAGTTGCTAGTCAAAGCGTGCCATTCCGATATGTCCAAATGGACATACATGGTCGAGTGATGTTCATGTAATCCGATTACAACAATTGGATACGATGATTTTACGAGGACAGTAGTACGAACACGGTAGAGAGAAGAAATTATTTACGGATTGATAATTGTAATTAACAGCAACGAGTAACAAATATGTAATTAATTAGAATAAAGTAGCAGTAGAAGAATTATAAAACAAGTTAGATCAGTGATCTGTATAACGTCGAAATATACAAATCAAGAAGTTAGGTCAGTGATCGCAGTATTACTATTACTAGTCTATGTATACGACGCCCGAGATTTTGTCGTTTAGAAATATCTTCAAAACTAGGTACCTGACTTAGCTTTATGAAAGAAAACGTATTGGCAAAACTACGCATTTTTACATTTATTAAAAATAAAAAGCTTGATTAAAAATAGTCTTTATTTTATGAAACTAGATCATTTACCTACTAGGATATTTAAAAGTATGGAATTAAGTATGAATTACTAGTACTTATTTAACATAATGGAATAACGTTCATTACTTTCATAAACATTAGGCACAACAAAATATTATTTGCAAATTAATAATGCAGAATTGTAGAATAACGTCTACCGCTACAAAATTATTTTAATCCGCAGTCAGACTAGCTATAAATTTAACAAAATATCAGTTTTATCGGAATTAATTAATTTTTGAATCGAGTCACACGATATCATTCGATGACTTTGCGAATGCAGTACGATGATACGATTACTTTTACGTTGCGGCAATCACTAAAATTCGCTAAAATGACACTAATGACGTTTAAAAAGTGGCACGCTCGGCTTCATACAATTTTTGACACATGCTGCATCTATCCATATCTGCCCCCCTAGACAAAATTCACTTTTTGATCGAATCGAAAATCGAATCCGTCAAAACTCCATACAAAAAGGGGCTTTTCGACCACTTTTCGACTGGTTTGCGATTATAATTTGCACTTTGTCTAGACCCACTGTGTATAGACCCGGTACACAGAACTGTGGGTCTAGTCAAAATGCCATCGCAAACCAATATGAAGTTTTCACTAATGTCAGTCGCCGCGTCACCAGTAATTCGATTCGATCGGAAAATGGCAGCCAAAATGCACATTCAACCACCAACGACGCGGCGATATAAAAGTTCATTCAAAATCGAATAAAAGTTAAAAAATGTCTATGACTTTGCGATTGTTTTTACTTTTTTCAGCTTTTTTTTTTTAATTTGTTTCTTCCTTCTTTCTGCTCTCTGTTTACGTCTATGCTTCGCCGTCAAACTAACTGTCAAAACGACATCGCGATACGGATTTGTCAAAACAGCCTTAGGGTGGGTTGCACCATCTTAGTTTAACTTTGACAAACGTCTAAAATCTGTCAAACTCCATACCAAAAACACCGGTTAATGTGATAGTTACGGTCAAAGTTAGGTGGTGCAACTCACCCTATTGGTTTTCGATCGAATCGAAGCTTATCACCGGGGTTTTAGTAATCGCAATGAAAATGGCGGGTGTTGCGATTCGATTCGATTTTGATTGAGTCTTAAATGCATGTTGGCTAAGCCTTTGTATGGTAAATTTCAATCCAGTCTTTCGATTATCGATAGGTAGGGCTTTGCGATTCGATTTTTTGCCGTTTGACTAAGCCTTTTTTGTTATCGACCTCTTTTGCGATTTGTTTATTTGTTTGCGACTGGTTTGCGATGGGTTTGCGATTTTAAAGTGCGTTTTGACTAGACCCGCTGTCCTATTATACCCTTGACATTGATAGGGGGGCGTCACCGTCAATATAGATGACCCACGCTGAACTGTCCCGCCAAACTCAATGACAGGGGGGCGCTACCATCGTTAAACTATATGGTTTCCAACATGGCAAAAATCTGAACCAGCGATCCGGTATTGACGGTGGCGCCCCACTGTCAATGTCATCGACAGGACAGTCCAGCATTTTGGAACTATACCAGATCGCTGGTTCCGATTTTTGCCATGTTGGTAACTAGAATGATGGTGGCGCCCCCCCGTCAATGAGTTTGGTGGGACAGTTCAGTGTAGGTCATCAATACTGAGATTTCAATGATGAAGTTCGCCTGCCTGCTCTCACAATAGGTTCCTACTGGTAACAGCTGGGTGAACGACGATCTGGTGAAGGTCACGGGAGGTGCCTGGATGCGAGCGGCGCAGGACCGGTCTTTTGAGGAAATCCTTGGGGGAGGCCTTTGTCCAGCTGTGGACGTCTTTCGGTTGAAACGAACCAACGAACTGCTGGGTAGCATTGCCTTCAAAAATTAACAGAACCGCGGATGTTTGAAGGTATAAGCTGTTGAAATTATTTATCATCTACGAAAATCCTGGTCTACTATTTGTTACATACCTAATGCTATAAGCCAGCTAGATACTTTACATCAGGTATTCCGAGGAAAATACATAGCTTTTAATGCCTGGGCCACACACAGCGATGCCGATAATATTCGGGTTGGTTGTTCCTTAAGACTTGTATTAAGTGTTAGTTCAAATTAAATTGAAACATAAAGTTAGTCTAATGTGTTGTCAGCTCAGTTGTACCTACTGTAACTATCATGGTGTGTTATTAAAATAATACATTGCAATATATTTGCATTTTATTTCATCAATTTATTGATAATATTGAACCAATTTAAGGCACAACAATAAGGTCTTATTATAAGAAGTGGCTTAAAGTACTAATAATCAACAATAAATCCGTCTTCAAGTATCAATGGTCTTATACAGTGAAATAATAACTATAAAGTTAATTTCCTCAAGGTATACTAACACTATGATATTAGCAGAAGTTAAACTATAGATAGTTCATACAAGTGCATAGCATAATTCAGAAATTGCTCACAGTTTAACAAAGTTATAGAATATTATTATCAAAATCCACATAAATTCATAATACCATAGAAAATAAAAATGATATACCTACCCAAAACGTGATAATACATAAGTTTTATACCATTCCCCAAAATAACAGTGACATTATATAAAAATGCGCTTTAATGTAATAAACTTAAATAATGTTTTCAAATAGTAATAATACTTAAATCTACTTACATCTGAATATAATTTTAATTCTTATATTACTAATAAATCTTTTATAAACTTAATAACTAAGGCATAATACATGATTTTCAGATAGCAGGCATTGTAAATTTTAATAATAATAGTTTTTGTATTTACCAACTAAGTGGAATCCTAAAAATATATGATTATGCACAGTAACTTACTTTGTTCAATGTAGTACCATTACGACAATAAAAGTTATTTAGTAGTATTATTTTTACATTTGGTGTGTTTAAGATATAAAATGTGTGGGTCACATTACTCATTTCATCGTGTCGTGTAAAATCTGTAACAGCTTTACGATACGCATCAATCGGGGTGTGTCCAGCGCCGTAGCTAGTATTGAATATTACGTAGGGCAGGGGTGTTTACCATGAAAAGTACCTAACCTGACAAGAATAAAGGCAAATTTTTGCAAAAACATTTGCTTGCCTTACAATTTGAGGCATGCAATGCCTTTATCTGCAACTGTATCTTTGCGCAAATTCTAGTAATTGACAAAATCCAGAACATTTTAGTAAAAATGCTAAACACGGTAGAAGGCACGCGATTCTCGGCTAGCAAGTAGCAACCCAAAATGCATCACATTAAAAAAAGTAATTAGGGCATCGCTTCAAAAGGTCCTCTCTACAGTCTAATTTTTTAGAAATCAGCAGAAATGTCATCAAACATGGCCAACTGACATAAAAATATTTTTAGTCTGTGAACTAGTGATGCGACAAAACCTCTCGTTAATCGCGAAGTGAAATTATTGTAGTACTTGCGTATCATCGCCGGGTGATCGTCAAAATACTAAAAATATGCAACAAAGTCGCAACATTGAATGTGAACTAATTATGAAATTTTCGAGAACAGGAAACAAACTGTATGCACAGATGTAATCAAAAAACACACTGGACAGTAAAACAATACTAGTACTACGGCTGCGTCACGTACCGGTGTCGGTCAGTCGTCGGCGACCTGCGCGAGGATGTGCAGGACGATCTGGTCGATGGTGTGCGTGTCGAGCATGCGCGCGATGTGCTTGTCCTCCACCGCGTACACGAACAGGTGCTTGGTGTTCTCGCGCAGGCACTGCACGCGCGACCAGCGCCCGCGGTCCGCCGCGCGCGCGCCGCACTGCACTATCACCTTCTCCAGCACCTGGGTAATGCGAGCGAAGTCAACGAGGGTTTTCGCGAATGAAAAATCCGCCAGATCGCAATACGTAGACGCGAGGTCCAAATGCTGCATGATTATTTTTGACATGACATTGACAGATAATATGTCAAAATCCACCAATCACGCAGCAGTCAGACCCCACATCCACGCCCTGCCATCTAGCGGATCTTTCATTCGCGAAAACCCTCATTCACCAATAACGAGCAAACGAAGAATGAAATAATAATAAAATATTTTATTTCACAAAAAGAGCGACATTTACATAAATTTTTTTTTTTTTCTTCTTTATGGCTCTCGCGGATTGCGTTTAGNGGTGGCGGTTCAATTCCAGTCACCAAGCCGCCAGGAAAAAATCTTTTCTTGCAGGCTGATGTGCGGATCGGAAATGAGAAAACATGCCCTCCGATTGAAGGTCACTTTGGGACAGACTTTTAGCTAAATTATGTGTTTATCTATGAGTTTGACTATAATACGAGCAAAAATACATATAAGTAAGTAGGAACATGGTAAAAACCACATGTTTTCCCCAATAGTACAAAACTTAAGATAAACTGACTTACGCCCGTATTCACAAACGATGCACGTTTGATAGAGCTCTGTGATTGGTTCGTGTATGACCCTGTGCGTCCACGCGCACTGTGAGACCTCATAGTAATGTTTGTGAATAGGCGATACTCTTTTGGGGAAAGATATCTCTACAAGCAACAAAAATATAGGTAATTTACTATGAGCATGTTGTTTATAAAAACGCTTCCTACTTTATCCTGACGCACAGCACCGCATCAACTGAAATATATCGCGGAATATCTTCCACGTAAATCCCTACAACATATTTATAGACTGCTTATTGCTTCCATGACATTAAATAATATTAGCGTTGATCAAAGTCACACATTTTGTGAAACGCGTTTATTTTATGACTGAGAGTGAATAGTGGGTTATATTATTATCATAACGTAGGAAGATACAAAAGGTGTAAACTTGTCTAGACATTTTTTATGTGAATTTATGCGGGTTGAAGGCTCGGCTAGAAGAGTTAAGTAGTTTAAGTACGACGTTAAAAAGTTTAAACCAGAACAAAGGATCTAGATTTTCTTGTAAATTCATAGAAAAATAGTGTTTTACTGTGACGATTGCATGAGTAGCCTATTGGAAACTTGATGTACTCAGTTTTAAAATTGGCATTAAGTACTTATTCTTTTTTGCCAGAAGTTCAGGGTTCACAATAATTTGTGTGCTTAATAATTTGTGTCTACACCTAGGTGTTTTCTATGATGTAAAAACTATTCAAATGTGTTACATTTGTAGTCGGGTATTTATTTGAGCCGGACCTTCTGTGCATATCTAATTCTCGTGTGTCTCGAGTGATGTTGCATTTGGAGCGGTGCCTAAGTCGTGCGGGAGACGCGCGGGCGCCAAGAATCTGTGTCTGTCGCCTAGGGTTGTTGCCAACTAAGTACACTGTTTTTTTTATCCACAACGAGGAAGCTCTTGGCCTGTATCTCACCTGATGGTAAGTGACGATCAGGCCGAAGGTGGAAGCGAGCTTCACCCGGAATCCTCAACCACGGAGGATCTGGCTATCTTACCTCTAACTGCCAGAACACAACATTGCTGCTAACATTGTTGCTATGGCGACAGACTTAGGTAAGATGGTGGTAGCCAGGCGGACTTAGAACAAGCCCTACCACCAACCAAACCGAACAGAAAATTCTGCCTCCACTGGGAATCGAACCCGGGACGTCTGCGTCTGAAGCAGGTGGTCTTACCACTAGACCACAGAGGCGGTTTTGAACAGTATTATACTGTTTTTCACTAAATTATACTTTTTACTGTTGAACAAAAATAAAGTAGGCAAAATACTGTTTTCAGCAAGCATCACTATTATCTATAGATTTTTTTAAAAGTCCACCCAACACTACATTTAGGTACGCGATGTAGAGCTAAACTGTTTTTTTTTTGTAAATACTGTCTGTTTTCCTTCTCCGACCTTTGATTTACTTTATATTTTGAAACAAAAAACAAATAAATGGCAACCCTACTGTCGCCCGCCCACCGTCGCTACCTGCCAACCGTAAATCCATGCGCTTTGATATTAAATAACTGTTGCTGGTGTTATTGCTTATTTATTTTTGTATTTTCTATTCTCGGTAAATATTATCGCATCACAGTTTTTGCATGTTTGTACAATTTTTCTCTAGACTTTTTTACGACCGATACATAAGTAGACTATAAAAATGCTATTATGGTAACTATAAAATGCTATTAATGGTCGAGGGTTCGAAAATTACAAGAAATATGTACCTTGATGAGTTTGTATGCATCCATGATATGATCCTGTCCTCATCTTTCTTGGTTGACTTGTAGTAGCGTCATCTTTCTGATCGAACTACCTAAGGCGGGACTCCACGACCTTCCGCTTGCCGGGCAACTGTTCTTCCAACTGAATTTTAATAACGATTGAATAAGGTACTGTTTCATCTTAACTGATAGTCAAATATTTGTGACAATATTTCTGTTGGATGTTAAAGGGTAGTAACTACCCAAGATTGATGAAATAAAACGCGGCCATAACACTTATTTCGACGGGTTCATCCAGTGTATAAGTAGCTCAGTCGGAAGAGCAGTCGCCAGGCAAGCGGAAGGTCGTGGGTTCGAGTCCCCCTTAGGAAGTTCGATTTTTTCAAGTTGTTTATTTAAAATTTAGTTTGAGGAGCGACTATTCACTAAGAAATTTTAATAACGATTGTATGTATTCCCCCAGGATTACTGCAGCTACTACCTGATCAGGTTCAACAAGCAGCCGCAGTTCCTCCGCCAGGTGGAGGAGAAGCCAGCTCTCCGCCGCCCGCCCACCAGAAAGGGCCGCCCTCAAGAGGACAAGAGGGCGGTGTTCCTGGAGCCCTGTGGAGAGAAGGAGGCGGACTTGCCTTCTACATTTACTGTCACCAAGTTGACTAGGGTAAAGAAGAATTTTCTTTTGCAAGTAGCTATGCATTTTGCGGCGAACGAACGAACATTTTGCTGCAGATAAGGTTGAAAGCTAACGTCTTTCGTACCCACATTGTGACTAGAATGAAGTTTGTTCCTTTTATGGAGACATGTAAGAAAAAATGGCAAGTACAACTAACTCTACCTTCATTTAATTAAGTAGGGTCATCATCATTATTATGAGTAGAATAGTTCAATTAAACCAAAGCAAATTAAGACCTTTCATTACCTTAATACTCTTTGGACATGCCATAATAAAATAATACTGCCCATTTTCTCATCTAGGAAGTAAATCAAGAAACGAACATACCTGCGGTAGAAAGAAAATCTCTGGCGGCCTTCATGTCAAACGTGTCGCCTGACAAAAAGCAGTTGGTGGAGATGTTGTACCAGGACATCGTCAGGCCTTCGGGCGTCGCCTGGGACGACATCAAGGGGCTGGCCTCGGCTAAGAGCTTGCTTGTGGAGTCCGTCGTCTATCCTGTAAGGTGAGGTCGCCATTAATACCTTGATTACGCAGATTTATTTACAAAATGAACTAGATTTAGATATAGCTTCTACTGAAATAGGTCTTCACTTCGTCCGAGTGAATGCAGGGGTACCTACCTAATAACTTCTGATCTAATTTCTATGCTGTCTTCTTGGGTCTGCCTGACCTTACTCGACTGGTTTTACTTGTTAGAGAAACGACATTAGTGACCTGTAGTGGGAAAAATATGTTCTAGGGATGCGTCATGTCCACTTAATTCCGAATCATCATCTCATGGCTAACTGATCATCATCATCATTTCAGCCACAGGACGTCCAGTGCTGAACATAGACCTGATAAAGGTAGCAGGGAGGCGTTGGATGCAGGCCGCTACCAACAGTGCGATGTGGAAGTCATTGAGGGGCTATAAAATATCTTAAGCGTCGGCCGTTTGGTGTAGTGGTTCGAAACGGACTACTATTCCGGAGGTAGCGGGTTCAATTCCCGCACAGTACAAACATTTGTGTGCATGAACATATTTGTTTGTATTGGACTGGGTGTTTTCTATGTATAATAAGTATGTATTTACAAAAAAAAGTATCTAAGTATGTTTATATCCGTTGTCTAGTCTAGTACCCATATACAAGCTTTGCTTAGTTTGGGACTAGAAGCGCAGTGTAAAATGTCCAAGGATATTTTTTACTTTTTTATTTTTAAATACCCAGGTATCCAGAAGTGTTCACCGGTCTTCTGGAGCCGTGGCGAGGGGTGCTGCTTCACGGGCCCCCGGGCACTGGGAAGACGATGCTGGCGCGTGCGGTGGCCTGCGAGAGCTGCTGCACCTTCTTCAACGTGTCCTGCAGCACCATCGTCAACAAGTGGCGGGGGGAGTCCGAGAAGCTGGTCAAGGTAATAGCAACAGGAACAAGAGTTCAGAAGTTAATTGTTCGAGGCTGAGAGCCTGTTCCTTAAATTTTGAGGTTGAGAGCCATCGGCGCTCACCTACTTACTCGCAAGAAATCGCAAGTTAATTTTAAGTAGGTAACAAATAGAAGCCTACTCTACACCTAGGCCTTACTCTGATACTCTGAACTTCACGTCAGAAATAAAGGTAGGTAGAGTTAGTTACATCGTTACAGAATTCAATCGCATGATATTCTTCAGGCTTGATTTCCTTTTAGGCTGACATCGGTGACGACGTCAGCGTAGGAGGAAATCAAGCCTCAGTAATTTCACCTCGTACATTAAGGGCATAAGACACTTATTTACATGCTGATATTGTTAAGCAAAATAGTAGCACTTTACCTAAACGTAACACCTAAACCATTGTACCTATTTTCTTTGCAAATAAATACTTTGACTTTGACTATTTTTTTTGCATTTCCGGCCAGTTTCACGGGATTCACAAAACTGGATTGTCGTGGGAAAGGGTTATCTACGTAATTTGCAATTTTGGTTCCTTTTCAACACTTCAATCTTGACACGACATCGCAGCAGCCTACGGTGTTGCTATTCGCCAACACTCCTGCTCCTACATAATGTTTTCTTTCTAGGTGCTCTTCGAGATGGCCTCCTACTACTCCCCGTCAATCATCTTCGTGGATGAAGTGGAGACGATAGCCTCCGACCGGTCCGCGCCGGGGGAGCACGAGGCCTCCCGTCGATTGAAGGTTCAACTCTTGACTGAGCTGGACGGCATCAGTGCGAGAGAAGGAGTGGTGTTTCTGCTGGCAAACTCGAACATGCCGTGGTAGGTAAAACTTCATAAAGGTTTCAGGGGTCTTAATATCGAAATCCTATTAGGTAATCATCGCTGGATCAGGGAAGCGCTGGACGCAGGCCGCTACCAATCGATCAAGCATTGGGGGAGGCCTATGTTCAGCAGTGGACGTCCTATGGCTGAAATGATGACGATGATGATGATGAATCATCGCTGTGCTCTAACAAGTTAGGTAGGTACGATTATTAACAGACCACAGGTGACATGCTTTTTCAAAAGACCAGACAGACATAAATTCTTAACGGCAATTAATGCTGCGTTTTGACGAGAGGTTTCTCGGATATTTCGAACTAGGACCTAGGTTATACACGCAGATATCAAACAAAATGGTAAGCTACGTAAATTCAAATATAAAAATTCCTACCCCAATATTCCAAAGTATTTTTCAATGGACAATATCCAGTAAATATTGCCTAACAGCCTTGACCTTTGAGCTTGAGCCATTCTCTTTGATGCGCTCGCTGCTGCAGCGTGAAGAAATAAACAACCACATTTCGCGGCATTGCCAAGAAAAGTATGGATGGAGAAATCATCACTACCTACCGTAGATATAATGCTAAAACTACTGCAGATTGTTAGTTTTTATACACGAGGATTTTAATGTTTTTAGAAAACTTTTATCTTGTTTAACTAATAGTTACTTAAAGATTAGATTTCTAACGTAATTTTCTCTACCCATTTCAGTAGCATTTCGGCAACAATGATTTATCATAATGATGATAGGATAGAACCTATGGTACCTATTGATTGAATTTAAAAAAATCAATCAATATTAATTGATTTTATTTACTTTGAGCTACCTTATTATCTTTCAAAGGTTTTTACATGGAAAACTTTCTACAAATCACCATTTTCAGGGAGATCGATCCAGCTATGCTAAGAAGACTGGAAAAACGCATCTACATACCGCTGCCCGACTTCAAAACGCGCGCCGAACTGTTCGAGAAGTTCCTCGACTCGAAGAGCATAGAACTGTACCCGAAGGTGGACTTCCAGGAACTGGCTGCGAAGACTGAGGGGTATTCTGGAAGCGACATCAAGCTGGTGTGCAAGGAGGCCTTAATGTCCACTGTGCGGAAGATGCTGCCAAGTATGGTGTTCAAAGGTAGGTTTTTCAATATTTGATATTAACCGTCTTTAATTCGTTTTTTCCTTGGAATCTGTTGAGGTTGTGAAAAGCTTCTAATTGCTGGATGCAAACGGTTCAGATGAGAAAACTAAAATCGTAATTATTTTGTAGACTAGAGGTAAGTAGAGCATCGTAGACGATGTCTTCCAGCGATTTGAAGTATAAATTAAACACTCACCTAACTTAGGGTGGGTTGCACCATCTTACTTTGACAGTAACTATGACGATAACCGGTGCTTTTTGTATGGAGTTTGACAGATTTTTGACGTTTGTCAAAGTTAAAGTAAGATGGTGCAACCAAGCCTATGTTGCTAAAACGAACGTCGCAAATGTAGAATGCAAGGACGCCAATTACGAAGGTCCGTGCAAAATACATAATTAGTGCGAAAGCATTTATCTTTTTGTATAAACGACGAGTACTTAGCTCTACCACTTAGCTAAAATAGTCACGGGTGGATAATTGGAGTGGCAATCCTTTTTGATTGGTCGATGTCGAAGTAAATTCCAATATGTTGGAGTTCCACTTGAACGTGAAAACGTTTTTTTTGACAGTTGAAATTTTGATTCGGAACATTGTAGCACCGAATGAAGCACAAGTTACAGTTGACACAGTATATCTGTTGATGTAGCTATAATGTATCGAAATGAATGAAGAACTTTAAGAATGCAAGACTTATACATACCTGCAAGATTTATAAACTTACAATCATGACGGAACTTCCTTTTATTTCAGGTTCCCAAGTCAATCGCAAGGACAGACTGAACTTGTCCGATATTTTGACAGCCATAGAGAAGACCAAGCCGGTCTCCAAGAACTTGGCCAAGAGACACGAGGCCTGGCAGAGTGAGATGGGCTGCTCCTAGCGATGGAAGAAGTGAAAGCGGTATTTTAGATTCCATTTACTATTACCAACTCATTTATTTGAGGCGGAAAATTTTATCATACCCTATCGTCCCGTCCGATTAGGTATTTGCTTCCTAGCTCAAGGATATTAATTAGAAATAAATAATATTTCTTCTCCCCAATCCTTCTGGCCATCCTGGACACGTAGTGTTGGCCAAATCTATTTGCAACTGGAAGTTAGAGAGGGTCGTGCTCCTACGTCCTACAGTGAAGATTGATTGACCAAATGATGATTATAATTTTCCATAACCTAAGTATGAGACATTGGATTTTGATTAAAGGTAGTCTAGGCTCAGCTACGACGAGTAATCCCCAATAAAAAAAAACTAAAAACGGACGCTACACTGTCTGTAGACCATTGGTTCCCAAACTTATTTGAGACGCGCCCCCTTTCGACCATACAAAAAATTCCGTGGCCGGCCCCCCCCTCCTCCAGTCAAGATTATTGGTCGTATCGAGCAGTCTGGAATGCATTCTCTCAGCGGTCGCAGGTTTCTTAGAGTAGGCGCACACCTTTGATTTTTCGTCGGCCGATAATTTAGTCGGGCAGTATGGGCATGTATGGGAGTGCGCACACTACGCCGATTCGATTTGGCCGATTCTTCATACAAATTGAAATCGGGCACAACAATCGGCCAACTAAAAATCAACGGTGTGCGCGCCTTCTTACAGATTAGTAGGGAATTTAGTGCAATGATTTGTATGGAGACCCCTCCNAAGTTGATCAGTATGGGCATGTCGGAGTACGCACACTACGCCAAATCGATTTGGCCGATTTCATACAAATTAAAATCGGGCACAACTATCGGCCAACTCAATATCAACGGTGTGCGCCTACTCTTAGTAGGGAATTTAGTGCAATGATTTGTATGGAGACCCCTCCACTTTGGTATAGAAGGCTCATTTTTGCAACAGTGTTTCTTTGGGTGCTCTTGAGTGGATTTCCGTCGGTAGACATCGGGAGCCCCCCCTGTGGTAGCAGAGGGAGGGGGGGCAAGTTTCCTTCCGCCGCGCTTCACTTTAAGGCCCATATCTTCAAAACTAGGGCTATTAGGGCAACTGTGGTATCATTTTCGGATAATTAAAGAATGGCGAATTCATTTCTAGAACAAACTTTTTGCCTTTTCATACAAAAAAATTGAAATATTGAGTAAAATTCACAAAAATCAAAAAGTATTTTTTTAAATAAACGTCGTTTACTTTTAAACCACTGGAGATAATCTAATAAAAAAATATGACCTGAAAGCTACGTTTATCAGGATTATAAAAATATAACATTGTATGGTACTTTTTTCGCAAAAAGTAGGTGAAAAAATTTTTTTCTTCAGGATACAGCGCGCGAATTGTATTGCGCATCGGAAAAAAATATTTATTTTATCCATGAATTCATACTATTTGGTTCATAAGCAAGCAAGAATTATTATTTTAGAATTTATTTAGAGTTGCTGGCACATCAATCTACCATGATTTGTATTTTTTCGTCAACTGATTTTGAACTCTATGCGTGAGACATAAGGTTGAAAATAATTTAAACACATTTTAATATTGAAAATATCATAAGAAGAAAGCACTATTATATAAGCATATACAAATAAAGAACTTTAATTTGTCTAAACGTCTTAATGATTATTATTATTTTAATTAACACTTTTATTTGTACATACTATTGTACCAGTGATTTAACGGAAAGGTAAGTGTGAGGAAAATGAGGTTTCACAATCATAGTACGTAAAGAACTTTAATTTGTCTAAACGTCTTAATGATTATTATTATTTTAATTAAAACTTATTTCTACATACTATTGTACCAGTGATTTAACGGAAAGGTAAGTGTGAGGAAAATGAGGTTTCACAATCATAGTGCGGGAGATATTTTTAGCACAAAGGTTACGGCTGTGACCTTTTCAGTTGTTTTTTTCAGACAGCACCAGCTTCTGCACTACTTCTTGCACTTACATCTCACCATTTCCAGGCAAGCCGCGGCAGCTACGGGCGACCGACCGAACCGACTCAGTCTTCCCTTTACCCGACTGGTTGGAGGTGGACCAGAGCCGATAGCAAGATGGAGCCTACATAGACCGGTTTGCCCGTAGCTGCCGAGGCTTGCCTGGAAATGGTGAGATGTAAGTGCAAGAAGTAGTGCAGAAGCTGGTGCTGTCTGTACTGTTATGTAGAAATAAGTGTTAATTAAAATAATAATAATCATTAAGACGTTTAGACAAATTAAAGTTCTTTATATAGTGCTTTCTTCTTATGATATTTTCAATATTAAAATGTATTTAAACTATTTTCAACCTTATGTCTCACACATAGAGTTCAAAATCAATTGACAAAAAAATACAAATTATGCTAGATTGATGTGCCAGCAACTCTAAATAAATTCTAAAATAATAATCCTTGCTTGCTATGAACCAAATAGTATGAATTCATGGATAAAATAAATATTTTTTTCCGATGCGCAAAAAAATTCGCCCGCTGTGTCCTGAAGAAAAAATTTTTTTCACCTACTTTTTGCGAAAAAAGTACCATACAATGTTATATTTTTATAATCCTGATAAATGTAGCTTTCAGGTCATATTTTTTTTATTAGATTATCTCCAGTGGTTTAAAAGTAAACGACGTTTATTTAAAAAAATACTTTTTGGTTTTTGTGAATTTTACTCAATATTTCTAATTTTTTGTATGAAAAGGCAAAAAGTTTGTTCTAGAAATAAATTCGCCATCCTTTAATTATCCGAAAATGATACCACACTTGCCCTAATACCCATAGTTTTGAAGATATGGCCCTAAAGTGAAGCACGGCGGAAGGAAACTTGCCCCCCCTCCCCCTGCTACCACAGGGGGGGCTCCCGATGTCTACCGACGGAAATCCACTCAGGAGCACCCAAAGAACCACTGTTGCAAAAATGAGCCTTCTATACCAAAGTGGAGGGGTTCTTGCACTAAATTCCCTACTAAGATGGCCCGCGCCCCCTTTATAGGTCATTGCGCCCCCCACTTTGGGAACCAATGCTCTAGACAGATTAACCAACCTTGAGGCTTTAGAAGATCTCTGGTTTACATAGTCCAGATTTATCTATTGATTTTTTTTCTAGAATGATTTTGAAGTTTACGTGTTAAAGATATTAGATTATGATTGATTTTGTGAAGACAATAAAACGCTAATAATATTGTTACTGTTTATTGATGATCTAAACCAACATCACTTGCTATACAAAATATCCTTTTAAAAATACACATCTTAAGCTTAGGAATTCAATACAGAGCTCAATTCCTCCTCGTCACGATTCTGTTACAAACATTTTGCTTACCCTAAGGAGCCAATTAAGACTTAATCACCTTGTCTTAAGACTGCTTTTGTTCTGAACTATATTCTGTTCAGAAACAATAATTTTGGAAATTGTGCAACTACCTTTCTTACTTTAACACATTAATAGCGATAATACATTGCTTTTATTTTGACTAGATATTACCAATTTTTCTGTCACAAAATGAAACGAAACATGAAATTTAAATTTAATATTTTATTCGATGATTTTGTTTATCTTCACAAATGTTTCTAAAACGATAATCAAAATTCTTGTAATTGAAAATTCTTTATACTTTTGGCACCGAGTGAAGAAAAATGAGAAAGAAAAATACACCTTTCACCAAAATTAACAATAAGGCGGACTTATACTAAAGCTCGAAAAATCAGAAAGAAATTCAAGGGAACCGAAAACAAGACCTTTGGCAGTAGGTCTCAAATGACCACTATTCTATGAATTATATTATTATGTATTAGTACGGAATAAAAAAATATGAATATTATCTATGTATCAAAATATTCTATCGAATTTAGGGCACGTTTACACAACAGTCCGTTCTTTAGTTTTATCGTATACGTTTTTAATCGTGACTTGAGTGATAACGAATTTTTGTGTTAACGTACCCTAAGCTGTAAATATTGGAGTGAATCGTTATTTCAGCTGATATCGATTTTGTCACCTTTATAGGACTAACGGGCTATAAGTGTTGCCATTGTTGATCAGAGGCGAAGCTTGAAGTCGCCCTTTTGATAGTGGATGCCTCAGTAGAGCTCAAATGGATCTTGGACAGGCTAGTCACAGATTGACAAAAACTAAACAGTGACCCTTCATCGTACTTCTTAATTAAAATACACCATTATTCTTATGGTACGTCCACACTGGGCGGATTGGTTAGCGCGGAAAACTCGACATCCTGCTCACTCAAGAGCAGGGTGAGTAGGATGACCAGCGTGCCGCTTGAGCCCGTTCGCCCAGTGTGGACTCACCATTACTCTGTGGAATCAGAACATTATAAGTGATGTAATAAAAAACATAAACCTCCTTCTGGCGCAGTCGGGTAAAAAATACATCGACTTTGGGATATTCCGAGTTCACTGTCTAATTATTGTCAAGCTGGCTATGAATATGGAGGAGAAAATTCGATATCAGCCTCGTATTTATAGATTCACTTGTCTTTTGTGTTGTTATTAAGATGCCCTTACTAAATTCTATCTACATTTTGCACAGCTCAATAACATGTTATCACAGCTCTACATGTATGAGAGAAAATAAACTCGTTGATTTTAAAATAAAAAATAGTTTAACAATAGACTAAGTAAAAAGAAAGGACAAAAATAAATTTAACTAATGAGTTACCAACAATCAACTGACGACAGCACTTCAAGTGTGTATCTTCTGTGGTGGTAATACATGTGCTTTTACAACAGAAAGTATTATCTTGTAGACCTTGTAGTGCTGTCGACTCTGATAGATCGGTTAAAGCAGTCTTTTTGAAGCCAGACATTCAAAGAAGGTATGTATTATTTAAAATTCAACCGAATATACGTCATGGTCAGTTGTATTCGTATTATGAAAATTGTTGCGTATCGAAATAAATGTCAGCGGGGTTACAAGCGTAAAAATCTATTCGTTAATTTTATTCATATCATTATTCGAGAAACTATGTAGCCATTCGAAGGTGTTTGAAATTCATAACATTAAAATTAAATTAAACTTCGAATATTCAAACAAATTGACCGTGAAAACGAATTGTAATACAAAACAATTTTTCAGTGAATGTAAATGACACACTTAATTTACTGGACTGCTAGTGACAATTTCTGGGCCACACATATCGTGATAACATTCGGGAGAGCGGAGCGAAGTCATTGCGACTATGCACGAAGCACTAAACTCACCGAAGCATACGCAAATACTTGACTACACACATCTCGATAGCGCGAACCTTCGGGTTATCCCGAGGAGTGTGGCCTAGGGGTATGTGAATTTCTATATTTATTTCTAAATTTTAATTCATGTAAAAAAGTCATCACATTATTGTTCTGTGAACCTTTTTTTTCATGGTGTGGTATTTATTAGCCGTGGTATTTTTTTATTAAAAAGGTTC